CGTCCAGCGCGGCCATGTCGGGCATCCCAGGTTGGCGGCGGCGAACGTCAGCACGGCCTGCAGACGGATTCGAGGCGCCCTGACGGCGGACGGGCTCGTCGTCAACGATGGCAAGGGCGTGGTGCTGGCCAACATGTCTGCTTGCGGCCGCGAGGTCATGCTGCGATGCCGCCCCCTTCCGCGGCAAGTTCAGGAGCTCGGCGCGCAACCTGGGCGTTGATTTCGCTGGCGGGCGCCAGGCTGGAGTGGGCACGCGGGCCAAGCGCACTACTACTGCTGGGCCGTCCTGCGCGCGTTCGTGTGCGCCGTGCTGCTCGCGGCAAGACACGCTAGCTGGTCGGCCTCGGCCTGGCCCCAGCTTGCACCTGGGGAGCGGGGGTGACTGGGAGGGCTTGGAGCGGGATCGAACCGATGAGACGAGGAGCGCACTCTGCCTTGTATGTGCACACAGCTCGTCGCTCCCTCGATGTCGACCTCCACCTCTCCCCTGCCTCTCCGTGGGCCGTGGGCCCCGCCTGCGCTTGCGCTGCGGGGCCCATGCGCATTCTTGCCCAGGCGATATGGTCCTCGTGGATCCCTCGGGAATCGCTTGCTCTTTTGATGTTTGCATCTGAGGCCGCTTTCATGGCCGACCCCTCCAAAAGCGACTGGCCCCTGGTCAAGGGTCCGATCTCGGCTGCCGTCGCCAGCTGCCGTCGTATAGGATGGAGGTTCGGACAAGGAGTGTGCATGCTTTAAACTCAGGGCGGTTATAAGACATACCTCACTAGTATGTGCCCTCGCTCTGTGCTGCACGTTGCTCGTCTCGCGATCGAGGATTGGCTGATGGATCGTGCCCGCCAGAACTGCGGCTACATGTCGAGTCTCGCGCACGGGCCGCACTTGTCACCCATCCGTAAGCTGTGCAATGGAGCGTGCGGGCCCGATTGGACCCCCCAGCATCAGGCCAGTCTCCGAGCGATTGCTGCGAATGGTATCTGAGAATCAGGCTCGCAAGTACAAACACGGTCTGACGACCGATCCGTCGTGCCCCCTGAGTGGCTGTTGCCCTGGCACCTTCGCCGCTTGGGTTGCGGGTGAATGCTCGGCCACCTGGCAGTATCTGCGGGATTGCGACCTCCCCCCCTCCGTGAACACCCCGACTGGGCACTTTTTGAGGCGCGGCCTGGTCCCCGACCCTCGGCCCTGGGTGATCGGCCCCTCCTTCTCCCTCCTCGTCCGCTGGCTGAGGCGTCCGCTGGGCGGTCACTTCGAAGGCGAGGCCTTCGGCGACGGCTCGTGCGCGTCGCTTGTACAGGGTGACCTGCGCCACCTTCGCGCGGGCTGATGCGTCGTGCAGGTCGACGACAGTGGGGGCCTCGTGGCGTCCCTGTGCGGACTGCTGCCCGGCCCGCACCAGGCGTCGGACGTTGCCGAGGCCCATGGCCTGCTCATGTATCTCGCGCGCGCTGGGCTGGGCCCCATTCGCGACCACTCGGACTGCGACTGGGTGGTCTCGAGCTTCCGGCGCGGCCGTGTCGAGACCGCGGGCGCCGTGTGCGAGGGCGCCGACGTGTGGTCTCAGATAGGGGGTCGGGTGGTCGACTTTGGGTGGTGGTGGGGGGGGGGGGATGGGGTGGAAATGCGGGAGGTGAAAGGCCACGCCTGCCGCCGCCACGAGGACGAGCAGGAGCTGGGTGCTGTCGCGAGGTGGGGGAACCGCCACGCTGATGCTGGCGCCCGCGTGGGCGCCTCCCTCCATCCCAAAGGTGCCGAGGCCAGCGGGCGCGTGCAGCGCTCCTTCAAGCTGGCCACCTTCGTGGCCAAGTTCCTGGCCAGGGCGATTCAGGCGGTCGGTCCCAAGTCGCAGCAGGCGCCGCGCCGCGGACAGCTGCGGCGGGCCAAGCGACGGGGGCCGACGTCAGCCTCGCGGCGGACACGGAGCTGCGCCCAGATGCCCACTTGCCCGTGCCGTCTCCCACGGGCTTCAGGTGCGCCAGGTGCTTCCGCGTCGCGCGTCAACGGGGTGCTTTCATCCCAGCCGTGTGCGCCCCTGGAGGGAGCCACCGCGTCTGGCGCGTTGGCCAGTTCGTATTCTGCGCCCGCTGTGGTGCGCACTCCAGCGAGGATGCGCAACTCCTGGCGCTCCCTTGCCGCGGTGGAGTGCCCCCCGAGACGCGCGCTCCTTTAGACCGTCTCTGGGAGGGCCCGTGCCCTCGGACTGGGCAGCCGCTGCTGCCGACTGTACAGGGGCAGCTGAGGCCTCGCCCTTTCGGCGAATATGTCCTCGACGCCACCGACGATGGCCTGGTCGTGGTCGAGGACGATTGCGCCATGTCGGACTAGCCTCCTGTCCCTGCCTCGTGCGCTCCCGTGTGGGATGTGCATGAGGATGCACCTGTCAGGCTTTCGCCTGAGTCTGTCTGCGTCGCCAGCCTCGCTCGCACGCTTTCGGCCGCGCCTGGATAAACACCTCCTCCTTGTCCTCCTCCTTCCTCTTTCGCCGAGGCGCTTGCGGACCCCGCTCGCGCTCCCAGGCTGGTGGCGCCGTCTACCCCTTCCTCTTCCTCCTCCTCCTCCACTTCCTTTCTCCTCCCTCCTCTTTCCTCCTTCCTCCCTCGGCATGATGGAGTTGGCCAAGCGTAGGCAACATGCTTCATTTAGACCCACCAGCGGACTGCCGGCTGAGAGGATGCTCGACGGTTGTGTTGATTCGTACGGAGATTTCTGCGAGTTTGCGGTGGAGGTTCGGGATATGCAGTTTCTCGAAGAGTGCTTCCGCAAGGGTGGGGATACCGAGGTTCGTCGGCGGCTCCCGCACGGATTTACGCACGAATCCCTGCCGCCTCGCAGTAGCATCAACGTACCTGAGCGCGACGGGGTCAACATGTTCAGCAGAGATTCTCGGCCGCTTGATGGCGCTGTTTCTGGCGCGACCCATGGCGAAACTTATTGTTAACCTGTGTTGGGGTGGCTGGCGCAAGCCATGGCGCAATCTGAATCGCCATTCGCAGCGCAAATCATCGTCCTCCCTCCTTCTTGCCCCTCCCCTCCCTTCCTCCGATCCCTTCGTCCTCACTATCCCCCGTTATCTCCCACCCTTCGTTTTCAAGGGCTTCACCAACCACTCGTGGCAGGGAATGAATGTACCCCCCAGAAAAGGGTACGATCGAAGACGAAGAGGGCGGGTGTCCAGGGTTTGCGATATGCATATTGAATGACACGCGAACAGAAAAACGAACAGTTTTAAACTGATCGTTGTTGTTGTTGTCGTTGAACACTATTACTTCTAAAGAATTATTATTGTTGGACCCCCTGGTGCACGCCCCCCGCCCAAAACCTAGGCCGCAGCTACATTTTCATAATTTTTCTGCGAAAGCTTCAGAAAAGTGGATTACCCCCGGATCCGGTTTTTTGTTGACGCTCGTTTTCCCTTGCAAAAAACAATAGAAAATGAAAATTCTTGTTCTTAGTTGATCAAATTTCAAGAATCCCTTGCAAAAAATAAGGTAAAGTGGACATTCGCGCTCGCAAGACGAAATCCTTCCAAAACCTTAGGTTTCGTAGCGATTTTAACATAGGTTTTTTAAGCACGCGCGCGTTGGGCACTGAGAGTTAGGATCATAGCGCCATGAGTCTATGAGCAATGCATGCGTCATCCTTGGGACTGTATAACATCAGTGTAACACATGTACTTCTGTAATCGCATCCCCACGAATTTGCCCCAAAAATGTGACCAACTATCTTGGCACTGCGTACCATCTCACGTGTACCGTGTACCACATCATATGTAACAGATGTGATCAACCTCTGTGGGTGTGTACCCCACGCCAGTGTAGTAGCCAGGGTCGTCCGCACGCCACGAAGTGAAGTGTCCCAACGTCATAGGGCGGGAAGCTGGGTGTGGGTGGTCTCGAAGAGTCGTTTGGATATTTGGTAGAGCTTGAACGGCCCCCCCACGAAGTGAGGGTATTGGCTGGTGTCGCAAGAAAACCCTGGCACTGGGGAGAACACTGAGCGTTCGGGTAAAATGATTGTTGTTGTTGTTGTTGTTGTTGTTGTTGTTGTTGTTGTTGTTGTTGTTGTTGTTGTTAGTGTTGTTGTTGTTGTTGTTGTTGTTGTTGTTGTTGTTGTTGTTGTTGTTGTTGAACATTATTACTTCTAAAGAATAATTATTGTTGGGGCCCCTGGTGCACGCCCCCCCCGCCGCGCCTAGGCCGCAGCCACATTTTCATCATTTTCGAGCGAAAGCCCTTGACAAAACGATGTGATCCAGATCCGGTTTTTTTGTTCCCCCCCGCTTTCCCTTGCAAAAAACAATTTAAAATTACATTTATTGTTCTAACATAACCAAACTTCAGGAATCCATTGCAAAAAACGACACAAAGTGCACACTCGCGCGCGCAAGCCGAAATCCTTCCAAAACCTTAGTTTTCGTAGCGATTTCAACATAAAAACATCAAAAACCCAATGGTTTTTTGTTTTTCAAAAAAAGGTGTGAAAATTCTATCCCGCGCGCTCTTGCGGATTCGTAGGAAACCCAACACTTTTTTAACATTTCTGTCAAAAGGGCTTTTGCGAGCAACTTTTTCGAACTTCTGCAACAACGGTTGCGCACCTGCCAGGGCCATCATCCCTGTCAAATAATACCATGCGGGACACATTCGTTTTTTCTTCGCGCGCGCACGCCGTCGTCGTCGGCCGCGGGGCCCTGAATAGTAGCCACGGTCGTCCGCATGCCACGAAGTGAAGTGTCCGAACGTCATAGGGCGGGAAGCTGGGTGTGGGTGGTGGCGAAGAGTCGTTTGGAAATTTGGTAGAGCTTGAACCGGCCCCCCCACAAAGTGGGGGTATTGCCCGCCTCCTATGAAAACCCTGGCACTGGTGAGAACGGAGTGTCCCCACGTGCTAGTAATTGTTGTTGTTGTTGTTGTTGTTGTTGTTGTTGTTGTTGTTGTTGTTGTTGTTGTTGTTGTTGTTGTTGTTGTTGTTGTTGTTGTTGGCCGCCGCTCCTCCGAGAGGCTCCGCAGTACGGGGGTGGGAACCACCGACATAGGTCTGAGTGCCAGCGCGCGGGGGGGGCGCCCGGTGCCGGGACCGCCGGCGACGCCCGAGGGGGGACGGGTGCGGGGGGGAGGGGGGGGGAGGGGAGGAGGATCTCGTCCTCCTGTTCTTCTTCCTCTTCTTCTTCTTCCTCTTCTTTTTGTTTCAGCTCCTCGTCCTCTTCTGCTGCTTTTTCCTCCTCTCCTTCCTCTTTTTCCTCGTCGTCGTCCTCCTCCTCCGCTCGTACTCTGGAGTCGGGGCGTTCTGGGAGGATCTGGGCGGTCCTGCTTTCTTTTAGCGGGTCCAGGCTTCCCAAATGGGGCCGCAGCAGATGGGGTCAGATGATCGGTCCGCGTCGCGACCTTGGCTGTGTGGCGCGATTTGGATCCCGCTCTTCTCCATCCCGACATGGCTTTCGCATCGCCGATGCACTGGCGGTGCGGTGCGATCTGACGGCGCCATCTTCTCTGGCCCCATCTAGGAAGCCTCCAGCGGGAGATGGGAGGGAGAGGAAGGGGGTGGAGAGGAGGAGGGTCTCTTCCTCTTCTTCCTCCTCCTCCTCGTCCTCCTCCCCCTCCTCCTCCTCCTCCTCCTCCTCACCCTTCCGGGGGTGGGTCTGGGAGGTCATGTTTTGTTTGGAGGACCGAAACGGTGGCGAGGGGGCACGTAGAGAGGGAGGGGATGGGGGAGGGGAGGGGAGAGTATTCGAGGTAGGAAATGAGGAGAGGTGGCAGGTCCTTGCCTGTTGGGAGGAGCAGGAAAGGTGTTCACGGCGACAGACATCGTCTCTTACAGCCGTTAGCAGCAGCAGGGGAGGTGGCGGCGGAGGGAGGAGGGGGATGGGGGAGAAGGAGAAGGAGGAATGAGGAGGAGACGAAGGAGGATGAGGTGGCCGAGTTTGACAATGAGGATGTGGAGGAGGAGGAGGAGCAGGAGGAGGAGGAGGACGATGAGGAGGAGGACGCGTCGCTGGAGACAAGGTGGATTATGATTCTGCTGATGATAATGGGGATGCTTATGATGATGAGTATGCTGATTCTGATTATGATGATTGCGATGCTGATGATGCTGACGATGATGCTGATGACGATGCTGATGATGATGATGATGAGGATGATGCTGGCGACGATGGTGGTGGTGATGATGATGGTGGTGGTGATTGTGGTGATCATAATGATGCTGCTGCTGATGATGATGGTGGTGATGATGATGCTGCTGTTGATGATGATGCTCACGACGATGATGATGACGATGACGATGGTGATCGTGATGATGCTGCTGATGATAATGATGATGCTGACGACAATGATAATGATGACGATGATGCTGCTGCTGCTGATGATGATGATGATGATGCTGTTGCTGCTGCTGCTGATGATGATGATGATGATGATGATGATGATGATGATGATGCGGCTGCTGATGATGGATGGCCGTGGCGAGGATTAACATGATGATGCTGCCAATGTGAAGGATGGCAGTGTTGAGGGTTACTGAGGTGAGGATGTTGATGATATATGTTCTTTGCAATGCCACTACCATGAGGATGGCACAGTGAAGCAGGTGCTCTTCTTTGAAGAACACGCCACCTGGGGCCGACCCCCCCTTTCCACCTTGGCCACCTCCTCCTCGCCCTCGCCCTGCTCACCCTCTCTCACCTCTTCCACACCCTCGCCCTCCTCAACCTCTCTCCCTGCTTGTCGCCCTCCCCCTCTGCCTTCTCCTCTTCCTCCTCGCCCTCACCCTCCGCGCCCTCCCTCCTTGCTTGTCGCCCTCCTCCTCCTCCTCCTCCTCCTCCTCCTCCTCCTCCTCCTCCTCCTCCCCTACCTCTTCATCCTCAGACCCCTGTCTCTTCCTCGTTCCTCCTCGGGCCGGCTCCTCTTCCGGCGCCCAGGGCCCGCCTCCGGCCCAGCGCCGGTCCTCCGGCCCCTCTCTCCGTCCGTCGCCCCTCAACACGCCCACACGACGTGGCCCTGGTCCAGCACCGCCCTCCTCCTCCTCCTCCTCCTCCTCCTCCTCCTGGTCGCATCCTGGCCAGACGACCCCGCGCGAGGTTCCTCGTGTCCTCGTCCGCTGGCGGTGATGGGCACTGTTGCGACTCCTCAGCAGCCGCCGCCGCCTGGCCCCAAGGACCGCATTCACCGCCAGCGCGCCCCCTTTCAGAATGGCGAGGATCGGGACCATCCCCCATCCTGCAGCCACCTGTGGTCCGTCGGACTGCCGCCGAGATCTTGTTGGCAACCGCCTGGGGCATCGTCCTTACCATCCACCCGAAGGTGCATTTTGTCAGCCCGAACGTCCGACAGAATTTATACCTCCTTCGTCTACCCACCGGCAGGCCCTGCAATTTGCGGAGCGCCTGCATCGCTGCGTCCAACCGCTGGGTCTCCTTCTCCTGCAGCGGACGTGGCCGTGTTCTCACTGTCACCACTCCGAGCGCCTCCATTACGGGCTTGGCTTTGTCGCATAGCCCGCGCCTGGCTGCCTCCTGCCTCAGTGTCTCCTCCTCCTCCTCCTCCTCCTCCTCCTCCTCCTCCTTCTGTCATCGCGCCACCACACGGGCATCTCGGGTTCGCCTGAAGGCCGACTGAACTGCTTGATTTGTGCCACTGCAACCCTCTGAACGCACTCCCAGACCGTCGCGGTGGCGAAGATCATGATTTTGGTAACGGTATGGGTAATCATGGGCAGGCGTATGATGTTGATTCGGGCGGTGACGATACTGGTAATGATTATGAGGGAGATGCGATGATAACGACGATGATGATGACGATAAAGGTGGTGACTATGATGATGACGACGTTGATGAAGACAATAGCGATGGCAATAACGATAGTTATGATGATTATGATGATGATGCTGATAATGACGATGATGCGGACTATCGTGATGTAGACGACGATGTCAATGATGCTGCTGCTGATGATGATGCTGACAGTGATGATGAGGATGATGAGGATGATTATGGTGCTGATGATAATGATGGTGCTGATGATGATGCTGATGATGACGATTATCATGATGGCGATGATGCTGATGCTGCTGCTGCTGATGATCACTCTGATGAGAGGTATGATGATGCTGATGATGATGACTATGCTGATGATGAAGAAGATGATGAGGATGCTGAAATTAATATGTATTGCTGATGCTGGTCCTGACCTGACGACGACGACGATGCTGCGGATGATGATGCTGCTGCTGCCGATGACGATGGTTATGATGAAACTGCTGATGATGCTGATGCTGATGATGATGCTGACAATGATGCTTATGATGCTGATGACGATGATGATGCTGGTGATGATGATACTAATGATGATGGTGATGGTGATGGTAACGATGATGATGATGATGATGATGATGATGATGATGATGATGATGATGATGATGATGATGATGATGATGATGTTGCTGACGATGAAGTTCATGATGACGATGATGATGATGCTGATTATGATGATGGTGCTGCTGATGCTGCTGATGTTGATGATTATGATGCTGCTGATGATGATGCTGATGATGATGCTGCTGCTGATGATGATGGTGATGATGATGATGATGATGATGATGATGATGATGATGATGATGATGATGATGATGATGCTGCAGCTGATGATGACGATAATGATGATGCTGCTGAGTATGATGATCATGATGTTGCTGATGATGTTGATGCTGATGATGATGGTGGTGATGATGATGCTGGTGATGATGATGAGGCTGACGATGTTGATGATGATGATAATGATGATGATGCTGATGCTGATGCTGATGCTCATGCTGTTGATGATGACAATGATGCTGCTGATGCTGATGCTGATGCTGATGCTGATGATGATGATGATGGTGATGATGAGGCTGATCATCATGCTGATGCTGATGGTGGTGGTGGTGATCATGCTGATGTTGATGATGATGATGATGATGGTGATGGTGTCGCTGCTGATGATGTTGAGTACGCTGACGACGAACACGATGCTGCTGCTGATGATGGCTGCTATGATGATGAGGATGCTCTGTATAATGAGCATTGTGGTGACGAAGGGGAGGATGAACACGACGAGAAGGATGAGGAGGATCACGACGTGGAGGAGGAGGAGGAGGAGGAGGAGGAGGAGGAGGAGGAGGAGGAGGAGGAGGAGGAGGAGGAGGGAGGAGGAGGAGGAGGAGGAGGAGGAGGGGAGGGGGAGGAAGAGGAGGAGGAGGCGGAGGAGGAGGAGGAGGAGAGGAAGAGGAGGAGGAGGAGGAGGAAGAGGAGGAGGGAGGAGGAGGAGGAGGAGGGAGGAGGGAGGAGGAGGGGAGGAGGAGGAGGAGGAGGAGGAAGAGAAGTGGGGGGACGATGAGAAGCAGAAGGGGGATGGGGAGTAGAGAAGAGGATGACGAGGAGTAGCGGGAGGAGCATGACGAATATCACGAAGTGGGAAGAGGAGGGGGACGATAAGCAGCAGCCAGAGGATATAATGATGAGAATGATGTGACCACGATGACGCTGACCATGGTGAGGAGTGTGAGGAGGAGGAGGAGGAGGAGAAAGAGGAGGAGGGGTGGAGGAGGAAGAGGAGGAGGAGCAGGAGGAGGATGAGGCGGAGGAGGAGGGAAGGGCACAGAGGACAGGTAGAGGAGCGAGGGAGGAGGGAGCGGGGCCTGGATAGCACTCTAGAGCGATTGGGCTCTGCGTATGCGTCGGACAAAGAGAGAAAACGAATGGCCAGCGGCGGTAGCAGCCCCAGCCTGGCAAGCGGCTCCGGGCCGGCGCGCGGAGGGCCCCTCGGCGCTCCCTCTCCTCCGACGCCGCGCCATGTGCTCGCGAGCGCAGCAGCTTCATGCGTGCGCACCTGCCTGCATCGCCGTGGAGGGGAGATGGTTTGCGAGACAGCCGATCCAGCGACGGGCTGCCAGGCACTACACACAGGTTTTGGCACTCAGGCTTGGCATGTTGCCCCACTCGTCGAGTAACAAAAAGTTGGCCACCAGCGTTAGCGGTCGAAGAACGGTAGAACGTAGACTTTTCCGCGATCGGGGACGCGGGTCCCCGGGCGGCGGGAAGTTTACACCCCGACGTGCCGCCGTAGGGGTGTGCGCTTTGGAGCCGCCCAGGGCCTCAGGGGGCAGGCGTGCGCGACGGCGGAAACAAAAACAACATTTCTGCCGTGCTTCGCCTGCTGACCTGGTTTTTGGCCACTTCCCAGAGGACGAGTAAAAGTTGGCCGTACCACTCAGCTTCCCTCGTGTTCCCCTTTGTTCGGCCTCCTGGGAGGCTCTCGTCGCCACCGCCCGCTTCGCCTCGAAAGGATGGTCAGAAGGCAACCCGGGAGAGCTGCGGGGAACATCGGTATTGGTTCGGCGTCACCCCAACATGCTTGTACTATATATGCGCCGCCCCCCCAGGGGCGACGCGCGCACCGAGAACTCTCATAGTATGTGCGTCTTGTCGGACATAACAGAGCGCAGCGGTGTGGGGGTAACATCCCCCCCTCGAGAGCATAGGAGGGTGGGCGGGCTTGCGGTGTCCGAAACCATTTTGGCTCAAGGTTTCGGGCATCGTCCGCCGACCCCCTCTCCCGAGGGGAGGCGATCCCCCCTCGTCCTCTCCTTCTGCGCATGCCAGGGACCGAGGTGGCGGTCGCTCGCCTCACAGCAGGGGCGGCGGCGGACGAGGATTTCCCCAGCTTCGTCATCGTGGTCATCACGGTGACCATCCTGAGCTACACGCTCCTCACGTGCGCGTGCGGGTGCTGCTGGGCCCGCAGTTGCCGGCACCGCGAGCAGCCTGCTAGCCTGCAGCTCCCGTCGGGCAGCAGGGTCCGTCTGTCAGGATGGGCATCGACCCGACAGCGACGGAGCAGGACAGCTTCACGTCCATCAACCTAGTCGCGGACTGGGCCGGGCTCGCAGGCGCGCACGGCGACTTGACCACCATGCGCGGCGCCTTGTTCCAGGCGCTGGGCGTGGACGGCTCGGAGCACCCGCGCATCATCGGCGCGCTGCAGGCCGCCGACTTCGACACCATCGTGAGGGCCGTGCAGGTTCGGGACCCAGGGGGCGGTGGCGGCGCTGGCGGACCTCCCCCATTGCTCGATCCCACTCCGGCACAGTTGTCCCAGGCTGGGCTATTGGGGAGGGCATGCAGAGTGACTGTGGGCACGCAGCCGTCAGCAGCCGCAGCAGCAGCGGCGCAGGCGGCAGCCCAGACGGCAGCAGCTCAGAGATCGCAGAGCGGCAATGGCCGCAAGGTGAAGATGGCGGGCACTATCAACCAGACCGACGACACAGAGGTCGACATCTCAGACGAGCACGCCATCAAGATCGCGTACAAGAACTACCACGACAGGATCGGAGCCTTCCCGCCAGCAGAGGAGGAGCTGAGCAAAGAGCAGCTGTCCACGCTGTGGGAGGCGTTCCGATCAGGAGGCGCACCATACACGGACATGGCAGTATGGGGACCGCACCATCATCGGATTCAAAAGAAGATCAGGCTCCGCGGCGTGAAGATCGCTCCCACGGGCGAGGTCACGTCGATCGAGCTCACCGGTCCTGCAGACTTCGAGGACTGGCGTGCCTGCTATGCGGTATTCAAAGTGGGCTGCATCATGTTTGAGCAGATTACCCCAGCGCGACTGGACGCATACGAGAAGCACCTACGTGGCTTTCACGAACGATACGGAAGACAGTGCTGGGCTTTAATATACCAGGCAGACGTCAGAGCCAGGCTCGAGTTGTCAGAGCGACTACGCAGGATCGGAAAGGACGAGAAAGAGAGCGCCGACGCGACCAGCACGTTCCACGACTTCGACCCCGCCAAACCATGGGAGTGGGTATGGTCAAAGTTGACGAGCGACGTGCAGTTCTGGCTACGAGAAGTACAAGAACCTGCAGTACTCGTGTTGGCTAGCACGGCGTCGCTGCACCAGATGATCGACCGCGACGCGCCGATCATGCAGGCACCGCCGCCGCCCTCCAACGCCGCGTCGCAGCGTCCGCCAGCTCTCCCGGGTGCACAGCAGCAACTCAAGAGGCAGAGGAGCGACGGAGGCGGAGGCGGCGGCGATCCTCCAGGCGGCGGCGGCAGCGGCAACAACACGGGCAGGATGCACAAAGTCGGTCCCGACGGTCTATTCACGCACGACAGGAAGGGCATTGAGTTATGCAGATCGTACCAGACGGGCGAGTGCACGGAACACGACGCCAGGAATAACTGTTGCAGAATCCCTCGCCTCAAGCACCAGTGCGGCAAGTGCCTCTCCATCGACCACGGCGCCAACAACTGCGCGCTCAAGACGGCCCGTGAACCCCGCGCCAACAAGTCAGGCGGGCGCGGCGGTGGACGGGGAGGCAGAGGCAAGGGGGGCGGGCGGGGCTGACCCCCGCCCACGCCGCCGAGGGAGGTAGCGGCGCCCTCGGCGGACTCACTGCGAGAGCCGCAAGAGGATTTGGGTGAGTGCAAATCGGATCCTGGATTGAAGCGGCACTTGCACTCCAGCAAGGGCACTGGAAGACAAGTGAAGCTGAAGATAGATACCGAGACCACTCCAGATATCATCATCATCGATTCCGAGACCCAGACCTCCGAGTGCTACGACGCGAACAGCTATGCCACGGACCTCGGCAAGCCACTGCCGAAGGACCTCGCGACGGGCCTCAAGTTCTTGTACATGTTCAGCGGACCGACCGGGCGACAGGACGGCTTCGCGCAGGCAATGCGAGACATGGGCGGCGTATGCGAGGAGTGGGGCAGCATAAACGGCGACGAGCACGATCTCACGAGCGAGGAGAACTGGCGAAGACTTAAGGCATGTAAGAGCGAGTTCCACGGTATCCTGATGGCCCCCCGCGCAACACCTTCACAAGAGCGAGAAGGAAACGAAGAGACGGCATCGGCGGACCGCCGCCGCTAAGGGGACCAGAGGGACGCGATCGCTATGGCCTCAAGCACCTGAAGCCAGAAGACCAGGACAAGGTCAAGAAGGGCACGCTGCTCGCGCTGAGGGCGGGCGACATGCTCGCTAGCAGCCTCAAGGATGGCGCGCCCATCATCAACGAGCAGCCACACTTCGACCCGGACGACCCCGAGGACACGAGCATGTACAACCTGGACGAGTTCCAGGCGGTCCGGATGGCAGAGGGGGTCAGCCTGCACGACCTAGTCCAGTGCGAGTACGGCGCTGAGGTGGAGAAGCGCAGCTCCATCCTCGCGATCAACGTGGACTTGAAGGACGCCTTCGGCAAGTGCAGGCACAAGCCCCAGTGGTGGAGGCGCCCCTCCACGGGCGAGTGGCACCTAGGGCCACATTCGCCCCTCGTCGGCAAGGAGCGGATGATCCTCGCAGGCGAGTGGCGCAGGAGTATGATCCTGGACGACATGCAGTACCACGCCAAGTTTAAGGACGCTCCCTTTCTCACGAGCTCGGCAAAGTCATACCCAGCAGGCCTCAACAGGTACTTCGCGATCAAGCTAGCCATGCGAGCAAGGCAGATCGCGAGCAACATGCCCAAGACATCCACGCTCGTCAGGGTAGGGTACTGGCAGAACGCACTGGTCAACCAGCCGTCTCCCATCGGCACGCACCGCTCAGCCACCCAAGCAGGCATTGAGGGGCGCCAGAGGGTGCCGGCCAGCACTGCTGGTACGCACTCCTCAGCACCACCTCGCCAGCAATCGGGGGCCAGAGGGCACCGGCCTTTGGGATGCGAAGACGGCTCGATCAGGGACGAAGCGCAGTCGAGAGGCAGCATCACGTTCAGCCATTCACTCAGAGGCGATCGCGTGGGCGATGTCAAGTGCAGAGAATGCGAGAACGAGCTATACATAGGGGGCATGAGACACCCCAGGCAGAGCATCGGCAAGATGCAGGACTACGGGGCGATCAGCGAGCAGCTCAGGTACACCATCGAGCAGCACCTGAACGCCAACCCGCACATTCAGAAGGTATGCCTAGACGCCATTGGTTCTGAGGCGGACGCCGCGGGACCAGAGGCGGACACGCTGGACGACCTAGCCACCGCCCTGGGCAGCCTGCTGGGAACGGAGGACACCAAGGGCGTGGCCAACGATAAGTACGACACGCCCATCCGAGCGGGCCTGTTAGCTGCTTGGGCCAGGCGAGCGAACGACATCGACGGCGAGCATGTCGAGGACTGGCTCAAGCACGGCGCCCCCGCAGGCATCGAGGTGGACGCGGAGGACCTGGGCATCTTCCCGAAGGTGGACACCGCCATCGGGGAGCACGCGCTGGACACGCTAGACGAGCACGACGACGAGCCTGGGTTTCACAACTACTCGTCGGTAGACGGCGACCCGGAGGCAAAGCCAGAGATCGACCGGCTGAAAACCTCGAGCTACGTGACCACCTTCAAGTCGTACAAGGAGGCTTGCGCGTGGCTGGGCGCAAAGCCCAACGTGTCCAAGCTAGGCATGATCACGAAAGTCAAGAACGGCAAGATCAAGAGGCGGCTCATCCTGGATTGCAAGCAGTCCGGAGTCAACGCGACAGCACGGCAGAGGCAGAGGATCGTACTCCCGCGGCTGTCCGACGTGATTGACGACGCCCTCTACCTCTTGAGAGAGTGCCAGCACGAGCCCGAGCAGAACTTGGAGTGGCTAGTGCTGGACTTCACGGATTGGTTCTACAACATCCCGCTCAGGCACTGCGAGCGGAGGCATTTCGTCGCCTACTACGGCGGCGAGTTCATCATTTTCCTCACTATGGCCCAGGGCAGCGTGAACGCGCCACTGGTGTGCGGACGGGTTGCGGCACTAGTAGCACGCCTCACGCAGTCGATGTTCTGGGCCACGGAGGTGCGGCACCACATCTACGTCGACGATCCGATCATCGCTGCGCGCGGCTTGCAGCAGCAGCGAGATAGGTACTTCGCGATCATCATCCTGGCGTGGCGCACCTTGGGCCTCAAGCTCGCCTTCAAGAAGGCAGAGCGAGGCCAGGAGGTGGACTGGATCGGCGCCCACCTCACCTGCAAGACACTACCAGAGCCCGCGATCGAGGTCACGGCCAAGCAGGACATCGTGGACGAGGTGCGCCACATGGTCACTGACATGAGGAGCTCGAACGTGGCGCCGATCAAGGACGTGCAGTCATTGGTTGGCAAGGCCAACCACATCGCGGGCATGATCGAGGCATGGAGACCCTTCTTGCAGGATATGTGGAGCACGATCGCGGCCCACAAGCGAGGCGAGACGAGCAACGCCCCGCGGCAGTGCATCTGGACGAAGCAGATCGCACAGGCACTCGAGTGGATCCACGCGTTCCAGGCGGGCTCCCTCGGCACGCTCTCTCGAGTTTATCGAGTTCGAGCGTACTTCGGCTACTGCAAGCGGGTCGCCATCGTGACCGACGCGTCGCCCTGGGGCCTGGGAGGCTACCCCATGATCGAGGACGTCGCGAAGGCCTACTTCACGAGCCCCCTCACCCAGGCCGACGCGGACGTCTTGCGCGCCCCACTGGGGGAGGCGGCCGGACAGCAGATCTGGGAGGCCCTCGCGATGCTGGTAGCGCTCCGCGTGTGGAAGCAGGTCTGGCTGCAGCAGGGCATCCGCCTCGCGGCGACGGCGGACAGCATCTCCACGCTGACCCTGCTGCTCAACTTCCGGGCACGGACGGCGTCCTACAGCCTGGGGGTGATCTGCCGCGAGATGGCGCTAGAGTTCGGCGACTGCGCCTGCAAGCCCAAGGCCTACGTCCACCTTCCGGGCATCGCCAACGACGTGGCCGACGAGCTCAGCAGGCGCGCGCAGCCTGGGCACCAGGCGCGGCACCCCATCGCGCTGGAGGGCGCCACCGAGTTCCACGTGGCGCCGCGCGCGCTGAGCTTCTTCCGCGCCCTCCCGTCCGCTTCGCAGTTGCAGAGGACGGGGGCGGGATAGCGCGCGGAAGCTGCATTTTAGTAATTGGCTAACGCCGACTTCGCCTGCAGCCTGCAGGCTCGAGTAACGTCTGTTGATGCATCTGTCTGCTACGGCAGGATTGGAAAAGAGCCCCCCCCCCCCCCCCTCACGTGGTCCTCCGTGAGTTTCGGTTGCCCGCGGCACGTGGTCACCCGTGGCGCTGCGCCCGATGGATGGGGGGGGACATTCACAACTGTATGTGCCGAGGGGCGGTGCCACCGAACCTTGGGGGTCGACATTCCACCTTTGCTCGTGGCCCCCTCGTGGCCGAGGGAGGGGACATCAACTTATGTCGCACGGGCCGTCGACCCCTGGTCTTTGGCCCCCCCTCGTGTTCGGTGTCAGATAAGGTCTTCTATCTGGCCCCCCTGGTCCTCGATTGGCTTTCGAGAGCCCCAGGGCCTGATGCCCGATCAGGAAAAGGACGCACACCGCGTAGGCATGCTCAGTAGCGTTCACTTGGAGAGTCTCTGAGGAAAAATGGGCTACTAAACGACTGAAACGGCCTGCGGGCCTGGGGGGGGGGGGGGCCCGTCCCTCACGTCCGTAACTTTTGGCTCCAGCCCGACATGGGCAAGAGGAAGGCTTCAGGCATTCTCCCTTCCATCAGCCTCTCCAGTATCCTGCAGGACCGCGGGCCGCCCATCTGCTCCGCGGGCTGCTCATCCGAGCAGAGCGGGGCCGCCTCGTCCAGCTGCGGGCCACGCCCGCCAGAGGGCGGGGACATCAGGCAGAGGCCGCGTCTGCAGTTCGCCGAGCGCTCAGACGCCCCGAGGGTCGAGTTCACGAGAGGCGGATCACAGCAGGCGGCACTGGCAGCGGCGAGGTCAGAGGATTCCAGACACGAGGCTTTGGCGAGATTGCAGGAAGACTTCGTCGCGGCCTCAGCCAAAGGAGCGAAGGACTTACTGCTTAAAACGTGGCAGACACTGCACATCAACTGGTTCGGCCCGCACACGCCAGTACTGCCCCTCACAGCTGAGAAGCTGCAGGCGGTCGGCGCGCTCTTCAAAGCAGGCAAGTACAGGTCGTTCGCGAACTACCTCGCGAAGATCAAGGAGCTGCACCTGGAGCAGGGTGGCGAGTGGTCAGACCAGCTCGACCTGGAAGCGAGGCGCGTCACGAGATCCGTACTCAGGGGCATCGGGCCAGGCAACCAGAAGGAGCCGATAGACCTCACTGCGATCGTCCAGCTAGCCAAGGACGGCAAGATCAGCGACCTACCCGTTACACCAGCTGGACCAATTGGCCCTGGGAACATGACGGCGGCAAGCGTACTCTTCATGCTGCGGGAGATCGAGAGCTCGCTCACGCTGTACGCAAATGTGATTATCGACGTAGATCGCCAGGAGGTCAAGTGGATTCTCCCAGGCTCGAAGGCGGACCCCTCAGCTCTGACTACGTCGCGTACGTGGGGCTGCTTGTGCGAGGCAGTATCTAGCTTCGCATGCCCGTTCCACGCGGCCAAGAGGCAGAAGGAGCTGGTACACCGCAGCTTCGCCGACCCGCAGGGAGTCATCCCCCCAGGATTGCCGTTCTTCCCGACGATCACGGGCAAGACCGTCCAGAAGGAGGAGGTGGTAGCCACGTACGAGACCATGTGCACCATGGCGGGCCTCCCCATCAGGGACGCGGACGGCAACAGGCTCCTGGGCGGCCACTCTGCGAGGTTGGGCGGAGCCAGGATGCTGGCGTCCGTGGGCCTGCACGTCTACCAGATAGAGTTGATGGCGAGATGGCACTCGCCGATGCTGCTACACTACGCCAAGGAGGCACCACTGAATAAGATCACGCAGGACTTCGTCGAGAAGAAAAGCCTTCTACATGTCAATGAGGCGCTGCAGGCACTACGAGTACGGCTAGATGAACTAGCCACAAGAGAAAAGCAGGAGGCCGGCGCGGCTTCACGAGAGGCCATCAGCCAGCTCGAGGCGAAGATCAACGAGGTCGACTCCAAGACGGCGGCGGCGCTGCAGAAGGAGATCAGCGACCTCAGGAGCGGGCTATGCACGCCCGCGAAGGGCGCCATCATCAAGAACAACGCGACGGGCTCCTGGCACGCCGTCGCGATCGAGGGAATGCATATCGAGCCGGACCTGTGGCGTACCAGATGTGGCTGGAAGTTCAGCAGGTCGAGCTACTCGAGGCGGATCGGCGACCTGCCAGAGGACGTCGACCAGAAGCGGGTGTGCGAGAAGTGCTTCGGGGTCCGCGTGGACGGCTAGTTCGAGGATCCCTCCTCTCGCCTCATCCTCCAGTTTTAGTTTCAGTTTAGTTATGTCCATCCCCCCCTGGAGGTCGGGGGATCAGCCAACTGCAGGAAGGCGCGGGCTCCCGCCTTGGGCCGCGGCGCGGGCCCCCCGCCGCGGCGCCTGCTCCCTCGCCTCCGCCTGAACCCCCCTCACCACCGTCTGAAAAACATGGTAGGGCGGGAGGGTTTGAAATCGAGAGGGGAAGGGATGTTGGACATAACAGAGCGCAGCGGTGTGGGGGTAACATCCCCCCCTCGAGAGCATAGGAGGGTGGGCGGGCTTGCGGTGTCCGAAACCATTTTGGCTCAAGGTTTCGGGCATCGTCCGCCGACCCCCTCCCCCGAGGGGAGGCGATCCCCCCTCGTCCTCTCCTTCTCCGCGCCCACCCGCCCGAAGGAGTTGCAACTTCAGGGGGTTCGAGGAGTTCGGGGGCAGGAAGGCGCGGGCTCCCGCCTTGGGCCGCGGCGCGGGCCCCCCGCCGCGGCGCCTGCTCCCTCGCCTCCGCCTGAACCTCCCTCACCACCGTCTGAAAAACATGGTAGGGCGGGAGGGTTTGAAATCGAGAGGGGAAGGGATGTTGGGCGCTTTCTGGGGCCACGCCGCTCGGGCAACGATCTATTACAAGATGGGCGCACCGTACATGTTCGGGTCGGACGCGCGCCTCCAGGGAGAACACTCTAGTACCAGCATGTCTCTGTGCGCCCCACTGCTGCCTCGTGGCCTCCCCAGGCGCTCTTCCGCGGCCCCCCGAGGGGGTCGGGCAGGGGCCTTCGCCGGGGCGCCCTCCCCGCGTGCTCCCCGGGGCACTCGCGGCGGCCTCTCGTCGCCCCGCCCCCGGCCGCGCGGAGCGCCGGGCCCGCCGCCAGGGAGGCGGCGCGGGGCGCTGCCGGCCGCCCCGGGGCCCCGGGGGGCCTGCCGGGGCCAGCCGGGGCCTGCGCGCAGAGGGAGGAAGGGCAGGGTCACAAGGCGGGCCGGTCCCTCGACAGGGGGGAGATGCAAGAAGGGACCACGAGGTAGTCTGGGGACGATTCGTGGAGCGTTTTTGGGGGCCATTTTCGAGCATTTTGGGAGTCTGTGTTTTTTTTTTTGATCTTTCGCCTGTAGGGAGGCATGCCCGACCTAAGGGTAGGGGGAGAGGGGGAAGGCTTCTCAGGAGCACCCCTGCTTCTCAGAAGGCGCGCGCCTCGTCTGTAGATGCAGGGCCTGCGCCTTCTAAGAACTTGCCTCCTTCTAAACAGCCTCCCCCCTTCCCCTACCCCCCTTCTCGCGCCGCCAACAGCCTGGGCCGCCTTTGGTCCAGGCCTCTCAAGTGGGGTCCGAATAGGTTAAGTCGGGCTTGTCCCTCTACAGGAGGAAAATCGATCATGTGATGTTTAGATTAATTTTGATTTTTTCTGGCTATTCTTTATTCTGCGTCCTGCATCCGCCCACAGGGGGACGCGCCCGACCTAAATCAAGGGGGCGTGGATTAGCGACGGGTCCCGTTTCCGTGGGGAGTCGCTGATTTCCGCCGCCGAACGAGGCGATGCCGGCCGCATTTTGTGGAGGGCACCTCCCCCGATCCATGGATTTGACGACCGCGCGCCAAATCCATTGATTGCGCGCCCCCGATTTTGGGCGCGGGGATTGTGAAGAACGGATCTGGGGTTCAGAGCTGCGGCAGATGGACCCTGCGAGGGGACCAGGGACCGATTTTGAGTTGATTTGGCTTCACTCTCCCCCCTGGCTTTATTCCGGGATCCCAGCCAGTTACCCCCTGGCCGCCTCCAACTCCCAAGTGGGGTCCAAGTAGGTGGGGACGGAGGATCGCGCCGCATCGCCGATGCATCTGCGAGGCTGCTCGATGCGGGCGCCCGTTTTTCTCCACGTCGAGGGCAGCGATAAATCGCCTGTGTCGCTGGTGCGTCGCCGAAACTATCGGCGACGCATCGGCGATACGGCGCGCTCCTCCAACACCATCTGTTCGGAACCCATCTAGGAGGCCTCTATCTGCTCGGCTGCGTAGTCATCGGCGCTGGCGCGAACGTCGATCTCTCTCTCTCTCTCAGTTTTTTTTTTGTTGGTCTCTCTCTCTCTCTCTCTTTTTCTCTCTTTCGTGCAGTAAACACGGACAGTAAGGATGATCGATTTTCCAAGGTTGCCCTTGCATCCTTCCCCTGCGGCCCATCCCTGGCTTTCTTTCGCTGGCCGCGCCCCGCTCGAAAAAGTGTCGGCATGGCCTTCCACGGCCCTTGCATCCTTATCGTGCATCCTTAACCCGGTGCTCGCGACAGTAACCCCATGGGGATAGTAAAGTTCGGGGTCCAGGGGGGATAATAATCAACGTGTTTCCCGGAGATCTCAGCATAAGGTCTCAGCATAAGGATGAAGATGATGACGATGATGATGATCACGATGATCCCAAACGCCCATGGGACCAGTGAGAGCATCCATAGGAATGATTCGGTCATCCACAGGCATCCTGTGGACATCCGTCGGACTCCTCAGGACATCCATCGGGTTCCTCAGGAAGTCCATCCGATCAGTTTGTGCTACACGCTCTGGTCGGCCGCCCGCCTCCGAGGGGTGCGCACACTGCTGGCACGTCCGTCGTGCGCGGGCCTGGGGCCCCCTTGAAGCCCGCGGCAGGTGGGAGCCGTCTGGGAGTCGTAAGCCAGGAGGGAGAAGCACACACAGACACAAGCAATCGTCGATTCCCCCGGAAAATATGCGAACATAGATGTGGGA